GTTGCTTACGTAAGACCTTGTCTCAACTGTAGACTTTAATGGTCTAGAAAACCTTTATAATTTCAGATGATCTTCTGACCCAGACCCACCTAGCTCCGTATCTGCTTTGGTTGCCTGAAATTGTTCTAAGAGTGGTGGAGAGAACTCAATTTTACAGCTAAAATCCTGAAAGCAGTGTAGTGCCTTATTATGGCAGTTAGTATGAATGGGAACTTTAAGGTTTTGTCAGATGGAGTTTATAAGGTAAGTAGTAAATGACTACTTTATTGTTTTAAATTTAAATTTGTTTTTATTTTTGAGAATTTCATACATGAGTACTGTATCTTTTCTACTCCAGCCTCTCTGCCCTCCAATTCCTCCTTTGTACCCCTACTCTCAAATTTGTGACCACTTTTTAAATTATTACATATATGTTACATATAGGCCCCATCTCTACAAGATACCAAGTCTTCAACTCATGAATACATGGGGAGCATCCAACCATGTCTACACTATAACAGGGTCTTTCAGTGTAGAAACTTGGAGGTAGAAAGCAGATGAGACTAACTGTGATGAGTGATAAGAATGTGTGGGTAGAGGTAAGGAGTCCCATCTATTTGTATTGAGCATTTAGTACAATTTGCTTACTTTCCCAGATTTGAGGATCTGTTGTGTAGGAGGTGCTTGATATTAAGACTTAAGTATATCTGCCGCTTTTGGAAATGATATAAATAGAATTTCCCCCTATTTGTTCACCGTAGTCCTTTTTTTTTTTTTTAATGCAAATGGGTCTCAAGGTTTACTTTCTAAATATTGTGAATGTAAAGATCAGCCACCCTCAATTCTGAGTTCATATATCTTGGTTATTACTATTACATTTCAGAGATGTGAAGAATTAATGATTAAACCAACTGATTTTGTTTGATTAACAATTTTAAAGGACATAGTCTAGGTGACTGTAGTTTACTCCATACGAGTCATTCTTGTAATTTTTTTCAGTGTGCTTTAGTATATTTGTTTTTTTTTTTTTCATATAGGATTACAGCTCTTCCTTTTATTTTTGTCATGTGTGAGTTTACATGCCAGTCTCTTTTAATGTAACTTTTTATTCAGCTCCTGATTATAAATGACCTGGGTGGGCTAGGTGGTACAGTGGTGTCTGGAGGTAGGCCTTGAAGCATAGCAGGCAGGAGGAACTAAGGGTTAGTAGATGTCATGCCCTATCTGTTTTAAGCAGCATGTGTATTTTTCATCATCAACAATCAAGGTATTGTTTTTAATCTGCATTTTTCACAGAAAAAAATCTGGCAAGAAAAGAAGTAATTTGGCTAAGGGTACCTTGCTTGTAAATCAGATGTTCTCAATTTATGGATTGCAACTCCTTTGGGGGACCAAAGGAAAACCATAAGACCAATGGAAAACACATATTTTTTTACATTATGATTCATAACTGTAGCAATGAAAATGATTTTATAGTTGGGGGTCACCACAACATGAAAAACTGTATTATAGGGACACAGCGTTAGGGAGGTTGAGAACCACTGTTAGACATGGCACTTGTATGAAGGTATTCTTATAGCAGAATTAATACTTGACTTGCTCTCCTATACAAAATAGGATTTAGACAAAGATTAAAGATTTAGACTTCTAGGAGACAGATGGAGAAACCATTAGTCAATTAGGTCTATTTGGCTGAGGCCGTATCACCCCACTTTGAAGGAGGTAATTGGAATGCAGTAGTAATACATAGCTAGTACTTACATAGACTTTAAGGGTTTGTCCACCTGTGCTGTTGGATTTGGTGGGATGTTGTATTAGTTACTCAGTGGTCAGCAATGAGGTTGTGAAAGTTTCTGAGGAAGGTAGGAGTTTTCATTGTTTGTTCCCTGGAACAGAGTCCTAAATTCCTGGATGCCCTGCTCACAGCCTTCTCTACCCTCCGTACCATTCCCAGTCTCTCTTCTTCCTTTTGTGCCTACACTCCTCAGGTTTCTAGGAGAGCTATCTGCACATAGTAACTGCCTTTTTCTTCCTTCCTTTCTTCCTTCCTTCCTTCCTTCCTTCCTTCCTTCCTTCCTTCCTTCCTTCCTTTCTTTCTTTCTTTCTTTCTTTCTTTCTTTCTTTTTAAAAATCTTGCCCACCATTTGCTCCCTATTTGCCTCTTGTGATTCCCTCATCACACCACAAGGACAGTCCTCTCAGGGGTGGAAGTGCATGAGCCTTTGGGCCTGACCTTAACCAGTAGTTCTCAACCAGCCATTTGCCCTTCAGGGAATATCTGGAAATGTCTGAAGACAGTCTGATCTTTAAAATGAGGGAAGGAATGCTGCTGATAACCCTGAGGAGGAAGGGTTATGAAGCACAGGATAGCTCCTACCTCAGGAGTTATCTGATCCCCAAATCAGTAGTGCACAGGGGGAGAAATACTGGTCTTGTTCAAGGATATACCACTAACTTCCATTCTTAAATGTGGCCGATTTGACATAATTCTGTCTTGACTTGTCTTCAGTGAATTTTGTTTCTGCTTTATTGTTCTCTGTAGTGAACATCTTGTACCATCCTTGATGCTAGTAATTACTGCTCACAATTCTCTTCTCAATCCCTTGTTTATGTTCATGTTTCATATTTTCTTTGCATGTCTCTTGGGTGTCAGTGATTTAACCCACGTCTCTGAATGTATGATTCCACCTGTACTCTGTGTTTGAACTCTCTTGAGCTCTGGTAATGTTTTTTCTCCATCACACAGGTACTTCCTGATCATCAGGTCCCAAACAGGGAAGTCAGGCTGATCATTGTTCTTCTGTGCCTCCTGCACTGACAGATATCTGACACTGCTCCATGAGTTCAGGCTTTCACATTCCTGTATGATGAGTGCATTCCTTTCCTCCCTGTCCTAAGTCTCACAGTGCCACCATGTAGATACGGAATCTAAAACAACTTTTGAGTCTCAGTGCTTCCTTAACATCTCATTTATAGAATGTGTTTTAAATGCCTGTGTAGTACTTGGAACCTTTGTAATCAAGCCCAGTGGTTCCCAGTTGGGTAGACCTAGGGGTTCAGAACACTGGTAGAGCACTTTGCTAGTGTGGATCAAGGCCTGGAATCTAGCCCCAGTAGGCCACCCCCAAATCATAGGAAGTTGAGATGGGTGGGTTTATACAGGTCGAATGTTCAGGATCCAGTGATATTAACTTCTTGTAATATACTGGACAGTCACACTCCACAAAGAATTATCTAAATGTTGTTAAACAATAGCGAATTTTGCTTTTAGTTTTACTTACTTAGGGAAGTGAAGAGAGAAATGCACACAAATGCAGACTAGAATTTAAGGGGAGTTAATGAATGATGTTGGAAATTGTAGAAGTGCAAAGAGAGCAATTGGGCCAGCCTGTTGGTCTGTCATTTGCTGTGCTGGTCTTTTCTGGGCAGATAGTCACATTTAGCCCTTGCCCACATAACTGGCAGCTGCTGGTTTGTGCCTGTAGCATCGTGTCTCCTTCTGTGGCATACCCAGAACTGCATCGACTCAGTTCCTGCCCTGCTAGGCTCTTCATTTCTGACTTTGGATACACTTTTTCCGAATTTTGCTATCTTTTGATTAGACCTTCAGCTATTACCTTAGAAAGCTTTTTTAACAAATAAAAATGTCATAAACTGTGTAGAGAGATCTCTGCTAATGATAAGGACAACATTAGTAAGCTTTATGTGGTAGGTACTGTGAATTCTAAGTATTATTTCTCACTAAAAATTATACACTATATAAATAAAAATATACACATTATACACATTTATAAAAATAAAATACCATCCTACTTTCTCAAGGCTTGTATTCCTTGGAATTGAGATTTGCCTATTCTCTTCTTCCCCCATATTAAAAACTAGATTTCTTTCTTCTTCTTCTTCTTTTTTTTTTTAGGTCAGGTTGGAACAAAATTGACAGTAGAGTAAATCTGTATGTAGTCCCTCTACCACCCCTAAACGGAGCTTCTCGTTGCTCTGTCAGCAGGTTCTGCACACAAACTGGGTCCTGAACCTCTTTTATGCATAGTAACACTCAGTTCTGTAGCTAGCCTTTAGGGTTTGCGGCTGGTGTTTATGTGCTGTGGATTTTGACAGTATGTCATACAAAGTAGCTGTACCATCCTAGAAACATTTTCATCCTTCTTTCCTCTCTCCCTGGTGACCACGGATCTTGTTGAGGGTGTCCATCACAGCTGGTCTTGATGTTTTTAAAACACATATTCTAAGCCGATATTAGGTTGTTGTTGAGAAGCTGTAAGAATCTGGTGTCTGTCAGTTTCCATGTACACATTTACCTCTTAAGAAGTGGGCCTGCTTTGTGTTATTGTTTTATTTCTGGGAACCTGTTAGCTATTTGGACCCTGTGTGGGTAATGTATAAAACTGCAGAAATACCTCTTTGTTGCTTTCTGTCTGTCTACTTTAATAAAATGGTGTTTTCTTTAACAACTGGACAGTGAAGTTTTGTGAAGGCCAACAGTTAGTTTGATCAGACTTCCTGCCATTATTATCTGATGACTCTAGGAGAAAAGTTGAGATGAGGCTGGTCTGTTTTCACAGTGCTGTTTCTGTTCAGGACAATCTAAAACCCATGATAAAGCATTCAAAGATACCACCAGAACTGGTTGGTTTAGTAGCTTCATATTAATTCCTAGTTGCCCTGCAGTGACTCATTTTTAAAGGAACTCTGGACCTGCCTATTATTACACCCACATTGTGAGAAAACTTTATACTACACTGTCATAAGGCCTGAAACACCATTGATCTATGAAGGATTTGGACTTCTTGAAACTTACAAGTATGTTTTTCAGCAGATAATTAAGAATAGAAAATAAATTTCTTTGGAACAGCATCATATTGAAAGAAAATGATGAATGTTTCTAAATCTGCCTGGTATTTGTTCCAGTGGTGGTGTAAGTGGCATGAATGGGCCAACAGGGATGGATTGCCCTCTGGAGTCCTCATACCCTGTGTACTGATTCTCTTTTATTCTTCTTTTAGAAGCTCCCTGTGCCACGCCTCTGATCTGCAGCTTTGGGAGGCCAGTGGACCTGGAGAAGGATGACTATCAGAAGGTGGTATGTAACAATGAGCACTGCCCCTGCAGCACGTGGATGCACCTGCAGTGCTTCTATGAGTGGGAGAGCAGCATCCTGGCGCAGTTCAACTGCATTGGCAGGGCCCGCAGCTGGAATGAGAAGCAGTGCCGCCAGAATATGTGGACCAAGAAGGGCTACGACCTGGCCTTTCGCTTCTGTTCCTGTCGCTGTGGGCAAGGCCACTTAAAAAAGGACACAGACTGGTACCAAGTAAAGCGGATGCAAGATGAAAAAAAGAAGAAGTCTGGGTCAGAGAAGAACACAGCAAGGCCTCCAGGGGAAGCTGGGGAGGAGGCAAAAAAATGCAGACCCCTGAACAAGCCCCAGAAAGGCCTGAACCATGACCTTCCCCGGCGGCATTCCATGGACAGGCAGAACTCCCAAGAAAAGACAGTCAATGCTGCAGCCTATGGGGCCCGCTCCCCTTGTGGCTCCCCTGGCCAGTCCCCACCCTCTGGTTACTCTATCCTCTCCCCAGCCCACTTTAGTGGTCCCCGCTCCTCCAGATACCTTGGGGAATTCTTAAAGAATGCCATTCATCTTGAGCCTCACAAAAAGGCCATGCCTGGGGGCCATGTGTTCAGAAATGCCCACTTTGAGTATAGTTCGCCTGGGCTGTCTGTACACAGGGCAGGTCACTTTGACACCCCTGTACAGTTTCTGCGGCGACTGGACCTCTCTGAACTACTCACTCACATCCCCAGGCATAAGCTGAACACTTTCCATGTTCGAATGGAAGACGACGCCCAAGTGGGCCAAGGCGAGGATCTACGGAAGTTCATTCTTGCAGCCCTCAGTGCCAGCCACAGAAATGTTGTGAACTGCGCTTTGTGCCACCGGGCACTCCCCGTGTTTGAACAGTTCCCACTAGTGGATGGAACTCTGTTCTTAAGTCCCTCAAGACATGATGAGATTGAATATGATGTTCCTTGTCACCTTCAAGGTATAGGTGTTGATTCACCTTACCTGCTTTCTGTTTGTTATAACCCAAAAAACAAGATGGAATTGCGTTTTTGTTTTTAACTTAATTGTAACTGATGTCTTTTTGTTCTAGCCAAGGGCTAGGTAACATGAATATTTCAGCTTCACCCAGTGGGCTGGTGATTTTTATACTCTGGGTATAGTTGGCCTGGTGGGTAATTCTATGTTTTTGTCCTGTGCTAATTTGAAGAAGGGATCACTGATGTTTAGCTTTTCACAACTGGGTGAAAATTTAAGAGAAGGAATTACATTATTCTCTTTGCTGTGAAATAATTAGTTTGAATCTTTTAATGTGACCAGTAGGCTATGATCCTTGTAAACAGGGAAAGCAGGAACAAGACTGTATGATTTCTTATTAATTGAATTAATTTTAAAATTGTGAAAGATGAGACTGTTGGTAACATCAAAAGGAGAATGGGGGAATGATTGAAAGTCCAGACATGACCTTGTTTGGGGGAGTGTAGTGGTCAGCTTATATGTATGGCAGACTTGGGCACATTTTAGCCATAACTTGAATGGCAAGGAGTTGGTCAGTATAGGTATGAAATTAAAACTGTTGAACTTCCAAAAGGAAGAAATACATGATATATAAATCTATAGCTTTAACAAAATGCTACAGTGTCAGATAAAAATTATTCCTGTCTTCCCACTAAACCCTGTCTCCTCCCCTAGAGCCAAGCACTTAGAAATGCTGATTTCTCAAGGATTTTGACATCACAATTTTAAATAGTTATTTTTATTCTCCAGTTTTAGGTACTATCTTTTGACTAGACTGGCATTTAAGGTAGATGACTACATTATCTCCCTCTGGGGATAAATTCCTAGTGTTTTTGCTGGGTGTTAGTAGTGGTGAACCAGGATATATAGTCCCATTATAGGAACAATCCTGTTAAGGATGCTTTTAAAATTAGAGTTCATTTCCAATTGTTGGTGTAGAATCTAAAGGTTCAGGTGCCTGAGAGAAGGGCTTTAATTTTTTGTTTTAACTTTGGAGGAAGGTTGCTCTCTCCCAGCAACTTTGTAAACCACTTTGGCACACTCAGCATAGTTTCTGAAGGTTTGTTTTTTTATTTGTTTGTTTTTTCCTTCTGTGAACACCTCTTCTGAAGATTTTCATCCCCATGCTCTATTCTGCACTGGAACACTCATGTTTCAAGTCTTGCCTCCTAAACCCATAGTTTCTCCTCTGTATTTCCCGCCTTAGACATCCTCAGAAGCTGAGACATTAGAAGTTTGAGAGAATATTCTCATTCATTTTTAAAATTTGATTGATTGTTACCTAGCTGAGTCATTTAGTCCTTTAAATTACAAATATTTTCCTTTAGAAACTTGAAGAGTGTTTCTTTACTCTCTCCTTATTACATTGTTATTGTCTTCATATCTGATATTCCCCTCATCTTTATCCCTTCTAAAGGGTTTTGTTTTTCTCCTAATATCTCTACTGTTCTGAAATCCCACCATTATGTGGTTCCTCAGCTCCTCCCCCTTCATTTACTGTGGCCTGTCTTAGATTATTAAATATATAAACTTAGATAATCACTTTGGAGAAACTCTGCTTTTGCTTTATTTCTTTGATAAATTCCTCTCTACACTTAAATACTGGCTGTACCTCTTAGATTGTCATTTCTCACTCCCATTTGATGGGAGAGAAAATCTTGTGTTAATCTGTTACTCATCTCTATTATTCTGTCATACTTTCTGGAAATGGAACATTTCCTTGGATTTATCTTCTAATATTTTTAATTTCCAGGGACTTTTTGTTTATATTTTGTTTTTTTGACACATTCCCTGTGTATATCAGGGTAACCTCACAAATGTAGATCAGGCTGTCCCCAAATGCTGGGTGTAAAGACTTTTACTACCAAACCTAGTTCCAGGGGCTTTTAATAGTACCACATTCTTGTTTCTCAGATGACGTTTCCTTTGTTAGATTTCAGAGTAAGAAAAAGGAATTGTAGTTAGGAATTGTCTTTTTTGCCTGATTCTCTGGACACCCAAATTCTAGTGGCCTTATGGGATTTAAAGCCCTCTCACTGTTCCATGGCAGGGTTGGATAGGATGGCTTTTATTACACATCCAACAGGTGACAGACTGGTTGCCTTCTGATGCCCCAGCTGGCTCTCTATTATCCATGTTCAGTTTCATCTTCCACTAGGTTAATTTGGGATTGTTTAAAAAGTTGTGTTTTAAATTGAAATACAACTGTGCATATTTATGGATTTTAGGGTGATGTTTTAATGCCTATTTATATTATGTAATGGTAAAACTAGGGTACTGAAGATAATATTCACCTCACATTTATAATCTCTGGTAAGAACATTCAAAACCCTAGTTATTTTGAAAACCACTGCATAATACTGTTGACTACAGTTGCTACAGAACAGTGAGACGTTAGAACTTTTACTTTTCCTAACTGTAAGTAGTTGTGTGTCTTTTAAGCAGCTTCTTTCCACTCACCCAATTCTCCCTCCCTTTCCTAGCCTTAGGTAACCATTGTTCTTACTCTGTATTTCCATCAGTATCTTTTTACATGCCACAACTATGTGGATCACATGGTATAGTCTTTCTGCCCCTGCCATAGTTTTTTTTATTACTTAATGCAATGATCAGGTTTATCCATTTTATGGCAGTGTGATTAAATTTCTTTTTGGATATACATACATACATACATCTATGTACACAAAAGTATTTTCTTTGTCCATTCATCATTGTGATGGACTCTTATAGTTTGATTCTATAGCTGTTGCGAGTATTGCTGCAGTGACTATGGGTGTACATGCCCTTCTGACATACACAACACTATATACCCAGTGTTGTGATTTCTGCATCATATGGTAATTTTAATAAAAAAAGGTTATCACACATCATAACATATACTGTTGTTATTATTAGGTAATTTATAATTTTGTTTATGTGTTTATTTTTGAAACACAGTCTTACTGTGTAGCTTTGGCTGGCCTGAAACTGGCTATATAGATCAGGCTAGCCTTGACCTCAGAGATTAGCTTAACTCTGCCTCCAGAGTGCTGAACTTAAAGGTGTAAGCCATTATGCCTGGCTCAATTTTTAATTTTTTTGAGGGAACTCTATTGTAGTTTTTCTGTCATGGATGTACTACATCCCATTAGTAGTGGGTGAGGATTCACCTTGAACTTATTAACTCAACTGGATGAAGCTGGAAGGCATAATTAAGTAAGCCAAGCACAGAAAGATGAAACCATTTGATCTCATTCAGCTGCCGAGCTGAAAACAACTATATTCAGAAATATAGAATGGAAAGTGCTTTACTTAAGATCAGGAAGAGTAGGGGACACCCTTCCCAGGTTAGGAAAGAGAATGGTCAGTGGCAGAAATACAGTTTGTTTGGGTATTTTCTGTTTTGTAGAGATGGAGTTTATGTTTTTGTTTCTTTTTTTAAATATATTTTTTTATTTAATTTATTATTTTACATGTCAATCCCAGTTCCCTCTCCCTCCATCTTCCCTTCTTCCTCCCTCCCTCACTTTTACCCTCTCTGCCCTCTCACATGCACCCTAACCACCCTCCCCTCCTATCCCCCCACCCCAATTCCATATGTACAGGAATGCCATCCAGTTGGTGTCATATAGATCTGACAGGTCATGTGAAGTAGGGACTAGGGCTTCTCTCCTGTCTCTAGGGTAAGGCAGTTATCCCTCCATGGGGGATGGGCTCGCAGCTCCTTTTGTGCCCCAGGGATACATCCTGGCTCCACTCTCTGAGGTCCCTTAGACTGCTCAGTCCTTCTGGCTGAGACCCATATTCAGGGGGGCCTGAGTCAGTCCCATGCTGAATTCTTAGCTATCAGTCTGGGGGCCCGTTAGCTCCTCCTTGTTCAGGTCAGCTGTCTCTATGTGTTTCTGCAGCCTGGTCTTGTCCTCTCCATCTGCATCTGGGTTCTAGTTCGACTCAGTGTTTATGATGGGTGTTTGCTCCTGTTTCCAACAGGTATTAGTTGAGGGCTCCATGGAGAAGTTAGTTGTTGATCTCACCATCCAGGAAGGGCATTTATGGTAGCCTTTCCACGGAAGCTCATATTGTTAGTGGGTGGCAGTCTTGTAGTTCCCAGACCTTTCTTTGGTTTCAATTTTCTCTTCAAACCAATATTGGCTCCCTTTTTTATGTTTTCTCTCTCTCTCTCTCTCTCTCTCTCTCTCTCTCTCTCTCTCTCTCTCTCTCTGTCTCTCTCTCCTGTCTTCTATTCCTACCAGGAATCAATCATCCTAGTCACATGTGTTTTCCTCTCCTCCCACTCACTTTGTCCTACTTCTCTCTCCATTCGCTGCCCCCCCCCCCACTTCCCCTGTGCTCTGGGGGACTTGTCCCTTCCAGGTTCTGTGAGGGACTTTATTTGAATTTCTTAGAATATACCTTGTATCCTAGTTCCTCTGGTGGTATGAATTATAGGCTGGCGATCCTTTGTTCTAGGTCTGAAATCTGTATATGAGTGAGTACATACTATGTTCCTCTTTTTGTGACTGGGTTACCTCATTCAGGATGGTTTCTTCAAGTGCCATCCACTTGCCTGCGAATTTCAAGACACCATTATTTTTTTCTGCAGAGTAGTATTCCATTGTGTAGATGTGCCACATCTGCATTATCCATTCTTCAACTGAGGGGCATCTAGGTTGCTTCTAGGTTCTTGCTATTACAAATAATGCTGCTATGAACATAGTTAAACAGATGTCTTTGTTGCATGGATGTGGATACTTTGGGTATATGCCTAAGAGAGGGATTGCCGGGTCCTGTGGTAAACTAATTCCCATTTTCCTGAGGAACCGCCATACTGATCTCCAGAATGGCTCTATGAGTTTGCACTCCCACCAGCAGTGGAGGAGTATTCCCCTTTCTCTACATCCTCTCCAGCATGAGTTGTCATTGGTGTTTCTAATTTTAGCCATTCTGGCAGGAGTAAGATGGTATCTCAAAGTTGTTTTGATTTGC